GTTAGTTGCTGAATGGACGCTTTGATTATAAGCAAATTCAACGTGCAGCAAACACTCTTCCCAGTTCTTCAAGTTCTTCTGAATAATAGAACGCAATAAGGTTGACAACGTCCTATTAACCACTTCTGTTTGTCCATTAGTTTGTGGATAACAAGTAGTCGAAAACATTAGCTTAGTTCCCAGCTTTCCCCACAATGTCTTCCAAAAGTAACTCAAGGACTTGACATCGCAATCAAAAACGATAGTCCTTAGAATGCCATGTAAACGAACAACGTCCTTGAAGAATAGATCCGCAATATTGGTTGCATCGTCAGTTTTATGACATGGAATGAAATGTGCCATCTTCAAGAACCTACGAGATAATGCATCAGCCACAATGTTTTCCTTTCCTTGCTTATACTTGATCACATAGGGAAACGTCTCAAGGAATTCCACCCACTTAGCATGTCATCTATTCAACTTACCTTGTCCCTTCAGGTGCTTCAACAACTCATGATCAATATGTATCACGAACTCCTTAGGCCAAAGATAATGCTGCCATGTCTCTAAAGCTCTTACCAATGCATACATCTCCTTGTCATAAGTAGGATAGTTAAGTGCTGCACCAGTCAATTTTTCACTGAAAAATGTAATAGGTCGCTGCTCTTGCATCAAAACAGCACCAATGCCAATACCTGATACATCACATTCAATTTCAAAAGTTTTAGTAAAATCAGGTAAAGCAAGCAACGGTGCAGAAATTAAATTTTCTTTAATTAAATTGAAAGCATTCTCCTGTTCACTTTCCCACTTAAATCCAACATTTTTTTTCACAATATCAGTTAACGGTGCTGCAATTGTGTTGCAATCCTTTGATGAATCTCCGATAGAAACTCGCCAAACCATGAAAACTCCGCACCTCAGAAATATTTTTAGGTGTCGGCCATTCTTTAATAGCCTTAACCTTTTCTTCATCTACTGCGATTCCATCAGCTGAAACAATATATTTTATTGAAAAATATCAAAGATTGCTATTGCCCATTCTTCCTTTTTTGTTCATGATTGACTACTCAGGAGGTGTTCTTTCTACAACTTTTGGGTAAGTAAAACAACCACAATTCACTTTTCATCCTTGTTTGAGTTGGGTTAACTCTAATCTTTATTTATTTTTTATTTTGGGGATAGTTTCCCATAACTTTCCTTCTGATTATATCAATTTCATGATTGCCAAAACTGTTGTTCCTTGTTGAGAAGTTTGGTAAGTAGCAATTATTCTGAGCCTGATTTCCAATTTATTTAATTGTTGTTCTTATTAGATGGAAAAGCTATTAAGGGGATACAAGGTAAAAGAATTACCTTTGACATGTTTAGGTTGTTTCACTTAGGTAATTTAAATAAAAGAAAGAATCGTGTTTAATTCTGATCTGAACAGGCAACTTGACCTTGTGTTAGTAATCAGACCATAATTTTCTCTATAGATTTTGGATTAAAGTGATTTTTGAGCCTATAGGAAGCTAAGACATAAGGTTATAGTTGATCTGTTAACTATTTAGCCCAGTTTAGTTGATTTCTGGATGAAAATTTAGTTGAAATTTTTGGTTCAAAACCTGACCAGAACTTGCCCTCAAGCTCTTGTTGATCTAGTGTCCAATTCGTAGTCCTTAGCCATATTCCTTATCGTGGCTCTCTGTTTCTTAGATATCCTTGATGTCCAATTTCTTAGTTTGTGAGCATCCTTAATTCTTTGCAAAGTGAGGCAAGTAAATTTATGGTCTTGCCAACGGTTTTAAACTAAGGTTTTAAGAACATATTTTTGAATTGTTTGAGATGGTGGTAGGACCTAACCTGATTTATGCTGATATGAGCATGGCATGCCTGGTTTATTAAGTTTTGTAATTGTTATTTGTTAACGCTTGAGCACGCCTTTTTCATGGGATATACTTGTTGAAACAATCTGAATTATGTTTCTTGCTTAAATGCCTACATTGTTTTATCTCCAATTTTGTCATGATTCTTATTATGCTACTAGTGGGAGTGTAAACACTAGTATTCTTGTTATCCTACCAATGGGAGAGTAGACATTGGTTATTCCTATTATCTTGTTAATGGGGGTATAAACACTGGTTATTCTTGTTATCCTACTAGTGAAAGTGTAAACACTAGCTATGATTAATTGAGGAGACCACTAAAAGATGTTAGTATGCATTACTAGATTGAGACTGGAAGTATTGTTTAGATGCTCTGTATCCAACATGCTTTCTTTTAAACTAAAATGGGGTTACCCACAATTTACTTGTTGAGATTTATCTCACATCGTTTTTTTTCCTGTCCACCATTTCAAGTAATGAGATTAGAGATGTTGCGGATCAAGGGCAATGGCGTGCTAGTTGGCTACTTTGCTTGTTAATTGGATTGAGAGAAGATTTTAGATTATGTAAGTTATTTCTTTTTTATAATGGATTTTAGTGGACAAATTAGAAGATATGGATTATTGTATATATATTAAACTAGTTCTAAGCCTTGTACACTTGTGCGACCCATTCATAGGTATATGGCGTCTGTTTTGCTTTTGGTTTTGGGGTGTGACATTATATTTGGATCTTTTTATTCCTCTATCTGTGTTCTTATGTTTAAAATCTTAAGGTATTAGTTTCATGTTTTTTAAAACATCTGCTTGTTGAATGGTAGTTCATTTTTAACTTAAGTTTTGGTTATGCCTAACATTGTAACTCTCACTTAACCATACCAAAACTTGTGTATTAGATTGGTTTACTAGCTTGTTGATTTTATAGAGCAGTGTATAACCAGCTTATTAATTTTTAAAGTTGCACACAGCTCATTTATTAGTCTTATAGGCTAGCTTAGTTTCTTAAAGTAAGGCCTCCTTACTCGTCAATGTGGATCCAAAGTCTATCAATCAGTTAGTATATGCCACGTCCTCCATTTCTTGTATAAAAGATAAGTCAAACACAACTTTACGCCCTAACTAATCACTATGGGTTTATGTTGCAAAGTCCCTCATATATATGAGAATTGCATTAACCTTCATAGCTTCACTAGTGTAGCTATTCCCAGTTGTTTATGTACAACCTAACTTACTCGTAGCTTTTACTTCGCTTAAGCATATTCTCATTAGGTTTTAGTTCTCAATATTTTGAGTTAACCAACCCTCTCTGGATCTCAAAGTTTTAAGAATAGCTCTATAGTTTCATGCATCCATATTTTTTTCACCATGTCAAGTGTTTAAAGCTTTGGATCACTTAAAGGCGATGCTGAAACTATATGTCATGTAGAAGCAAGCAAAGATGTGTGCAATTAAGATCTTATCTTAAAGTTATAATCCACTTAAAAGTGGTTTTTAGAAATGTAAGATAAATCGTTGCTTTTAAGGTGCACAACATTTCAGGTCCTAAAGTTCCATTAAGATGATTAGACTTGAAAGCTCCATTTCCTAAATCTTCTTTGAAAAGGTATGAACCTTCTTAATTTGGGTATAGCATTCCTTTTTTGGAATTTTTTTAGAAACCTTTGGTTTTCGTAATTCCCAATCTCCTCGGTAGGTTTTTGGGATTTACTTAGCGATTACAGTTTCTTTTTGTTCTCTTATAATAATTTACCATATGCACCTGTGACAAATCATTAATTTTTTATGGGAATCAAGACGACAGCATATCTACTACGTCATGTGATCCATTACACACCCAAGGAGGTCCAGTCACGCGAGCTAGAGCTAGGAAGATGCGAGAAGCTTTAAATGGCCTTATTGAGCAGATCTGGGTTGATAACAATATGCAAGAAGTGAATGTAGCAGCCCTCGCTGGGAGACTCACCCACCATTTCCAGGTGCGCGACGCGGGTCGGGTCCGGATTAGTCGGGGTGAAGCCTCGGATACCGGATGGGAAACCAAAAAAAAAAAACAATATGCAAGAAGTAAATCGAAGCTTGGATGATTATCAAGGCATGATAAACATCATTCAGGTTCAAGAGAAGCTTAATTGAGGTCATTCATGCTAAATTACACAGTTTGCATCAATCTTGCAATTTTGTCACAATTTGTAAAAAACTGATATTTCATGTTACTATATGTTACTTTTTAGTGATTTTCACATTTTTTATATTATTTTAGGCTGAACATTCATTTATTTAAGGCCCAATTCGTGGTTATTATGATTAGGGCTTAGGGTGTTAGTTTCCTATTCTGATTAGAATTATTTTTCCCTATTTAAAGGGGCTTGTAACCCTAATTGGGAGAGGCTATTGAATCGGAGATTTTGAGAGACTTTTCTCTTTGGTTCGTTTCAGAACTTTACAGAACTTATCAAGATTATTCTTGTGGTATTCTAACTTGACTTATCATTCTCATTCTTAATCGTTCGAGGGTGTGGCGTCAACCAACTTTATACCTCTGGTTCTTGTTGCGTCATAAACAACGGGTCAAGGTCCTATTATAAACCTGATTTAGCTTTCCTGGAGTTTAGAAATCCCTTGTTGTGCTGTGGGTCTCATTGTTCTCTTTGGGGTTCTCATCATCTTGGTATCAGAGCATCAGATCCCTAAATCAGGT